AGTACAGCTTAATCGATTTTTAACCCTTTACCTGCGCATTTGGTACATTCTGCGGTAGCTCCAGGGTAGGCCCATTTGGTCGCCATCCACGAGGAGGATAGGGCGCTGGGGGCTGAGCCCACGCCCGGCATATTACCAGCGATACAATGGTCAATAGGTACTGTAACCAAAGAACACACAACTATAATAGTAATATTTATTTCCCCACAAAATAACCTTAATAAGTTTAAAGGACCTTAGTAAGTTTAGGACGCATTACTTATTTTGAAAAAGCTATTACTTATTAAAGGTTTTAACACCTGTGTTGCCCATCAAGTTCTAACCCTCGAGAATGACACATACACACGTATGGCATTACTTAGTAGAGTATTATATGAGGCAAATCTGATGACTTATTTATAATTCTACATATACAATTAAAATTTTATAAAGTTGGACAGCAAATAGAAACATTTTCAATAATTAGAACGTTTTTTTTAAAAAAAGGGCTCCAGTTTGTGGAATTCTCTATTTGCCAAGTTTTATTGTGTGAAAGTGAGTGAAATTTCAATAAACCCAATTCATCCTCAAATTTGCCACCTTTAGATGTGAAATATTTTCATCAAATTTCAATGGGACCACTATTGAAGTACCCCTTTTCCAATAAAAAAAGAATCATGGTAGTCTGTTCAGAAAATGTCAGAGTAGTCGCGTATTATACACACAAAAAATATTAAAAATATTATTCCACTTTTTTAGTCGTTTAAAAAAAACATCTATGTAACTGATGTATTATTTTACAGTATAGGTGAAAAGAAAAACATCCTAGCCATAACACTTATGTTTCAACAAAATTGTAATACTCGAGACACTCCGATATGTGAAATAAACCTGGAGATCTTTATTATTTCAAATAGATATCGCGTCAAAGTGATAATTTATTTATTTATGGTTATTGTTAATTTTTATTATCACATAAAACATCACAATTTAAAAAATTAAATCACAAATAAAGTCACAAACGAGTAATCACCTTCATTTTCGTTGACTTTCGCGCTCCAATGTGCTCACGCGCATCGATTTTATAGACATCGCAAAACGCGATTACCATGCGCCTCGCGTCAAATTCGGCCTTTGCGACGCCTTGTAATGTTGCCGAAATGGTCTATAGGAGGAATATTATCAATCGTTTAATGAGCCCCTGCAAAAGCGGTAATAGCCCAGCGTCGAGGTCAAAGATAGCGAGTTCGATACACCAGTGGCGTAACGTCGATTCCTGCCACCCGGAGCCAACCATAAATTTGCTGCTCCCTCTATTTTCACGATTACAAAAGTAATTCGTTCGGTCTGGCTAGACTCGATTGCGTTTTTATGTTCGCCTGCCGTCGCCATCTTTGTGTGGTTTCAGATATCGTTTTCTCAAATAGTGGAATATACGGCAAATTAGTCTTCAAAAACCAAAAACTAAGATCTGCAACAACAAGCACATAGAAAAATTCGTGAGGTCCGCTAGCTTATTCCGTAGTTCGATTATCAAAGCGTCTAGCACGGTATGCTGGAAGACGTCAGTTCGAACCCGGCCGGATCAAAGGAATTTTTTTCTAAGTGTTCGAATTGGAGTAATTTCACAAAAAATAATTGAAAAAAAAAACATAATGATAAAACGTCCTGACATTAAAATGACATTAAAACTTAATTACAATTAAAGCGACATTAGCCGTAAAGGTATCTGAGTGACGAAATACTTTCATAGATTTCTCATAGATGGCGCTACGGCTAAAAGTCGTTGAAAAACCAAATACAAAGCACGTAGAAAAACTCGTGAGGTACGCTGGTTCGTTCCGTGTCTTAGTTGGTATAGCGTCTGGCACAGTATACAAGAAGACGTCGGTTCGAATCTGGCCGGATCGAAGGAATTTTTTCCGAGTGTTCGATCTTTGTATTAATAATTCACCGTATTATTATACTGTGTTTTTTATATATTAGTTATTAAGAATCCATATTGACATTTCCTGTGTACACTTCACATTGTTAGTTTCATTCATTTATTTATTAGTTTAATTAATTATGATGATTTTGTGTATGTGCACTATTGTGTACTTATGACTCACTATTATATAATTATTTCTTCATTATTTTGTAAACTGACGCTCAATTTTCGAAGAGTAGTATAAAATGACATGAAAATGTATTTGTATGAAATTTGTAATGTTGAGAGAAATAAACTGAAACTAAAGAAAGAAATAATTTCACATAATAAATAATTGAATATCAATTCAATAAAGATTTAAATATATCATTAATCATATTGTAATAGTGGCATTTCAAGAAAATGTTGAAGGCTTGGGACCTTGTTCTACGTAATTAGGTTAATGCCACCCGGAGGCTATCAAATAAAAACCAACCCCAATTATTCTTAAGATTTTAATTAGACATATAAATTTTAAAACGTGGATAGCGCACTACCTTGCTGAACTGTCTTTGTAATCTTCTTACTGTTTTTATTAGGGTTATTTTAATCATCGAGTAGCCAGAAATAAAGACGAAATAAGGACCATCTATCCCTGCTAAATGGGCCTCATATCACTTTTAAATATCAACTCTCGTTTACACCACCAACAACTGACCTGTGTGTACGTCTCCGTATATTCCAAAAATATTTTATATTTATTGTAATAAAGATTATATCTAACTATGGAGGGCTGTTCCTTTCAGTGGTGTGGGAAAAACAGCAAAACATCTAATTACAAAACAAACGGGATCACATTTCATCGGTAATTAAATAATTTTAAAAAATGTTCGTCCATTATAGCAAAGCTCAAATTAAACAGGTCGATTTGAGGTGAAACAATTGACGACACCCGTCAATTGTTTCGAATTTGGGCTGGCCAATCGGAGCGCAGTTGTCACCGGAATGATTTGGCAGAATAGTTTTCAAACAAATTAAATGACATTTCGTCTCAATTTCTGGTTATATACTCGATGTTTGTAATATACTAACAGCCTCGAAGGACTATATTACTAACATCATAAACAATAACTATTGGTGAATGACTTTTCACAAAACAGAAAATTTAACAAAAATAAATTTGTACGTTTTTGTTGTACTATCTGACACTTTTTAGGTCTGTATTTGGTGGTAAGGTGGGCGCAATAAACATCCACCCGCACGCCTCCGTTTTGCATAGAGTTATCACTAATATAAATTGTTATTTTTGTGTGAAAGTAAATTGTGACGAAGTACTAAAAGTCATACAACAAAAATAATTGTTTATGATGTTAATAATGTAGTCCTGCATGGTTGTTGCTGCGGTTAAAAGCTGAGCGTATTTTCCCTAAATCAGAAGAAGACTATTACCTGTAGAGATGAAACGGATAGTGATTTGTCCGGATACCGGATATCGGATATCCGGCAAGCACCCAAACTGGATATCCGGCTATCCGGCCGCCGGATGTCTGACCCATTGCCGTAAACATGTCGCGACCGATTTACAGCGCGCTTCGCCGTGATTGATTGAATAGTGAATTATTTCACTTTCCCATTGACGACTTGATTTGTTGTAATTACTTGGTGTAAAGGTACTTTCTTCCGTTGGATGAGGTTACCAAAACAAGCCAAGTGAAACTCCAAATTGTTGTTTGTTCAGAAGATTTTTATTCACTTTCAATGTCGCCAATACAATTTCACCCTACATGCGTAAGGTTCGGGCAGTTGTTCCCAGAAGGGACTCGACTCCTGGAAACCGTTCCGCGAGATGAGGTTTTTCACCCTATATGAGATACGAAATATCAGAAGATCTCGGTAGCAGTTCCCAAGAAGGGACTCAACTCCTGGTTGCCTTACTGAGCTCTCTGTATTCTCAGATTTCTCTTCCTATTAACAAAATTGTGTTCAAGTAGTCACCATTCGAGGGACAATCTTAACACCGCGATTCCGAAATAACGCCAAATGGGTCAATGCATTCTAGCGGATTCTTAGAGAGCTAAAAGTGAACAATCTGGCTTAAGGCCGTCTATTACATAAAGTACTTTTTTATTGTTACACTGGTTTTTATAGAAACGATTAATTTAAATTTGTATTGATATTCAATTATTTTTTTGTGAAATTACTCCAATAGTTTGTTATAATTATTAATACAAAGATCAATGTTAATAAATATTTTAACACCATTGCCGTTTACTTGTTCTGCCGAATGCAAATTGTTCACTGTGGAGAAGGAAAAAGTAATTACATCGTCCTTTGGCTATTTTTTTTTTATAAGTAGGTATAAGTATAACATGTATAGTAGTATTAACATGTAGTACTTAAAATACAAAAATGTAGTACAAAATGTTTATAGTGAAAAGCTGTCCTCTAAAGCTGGTCTCGTTTATGAATATAAATAATACCAACTTTTGCCACTTAATGCTGAAAAACTGGGCTTCCACTCTATTCCACCCACTCCATCATAATCTGCCGTTTTTGAAATTTGAGTACTAAATTTACAGTTAGCGTTGTCTAACTTCATAGTTCTTTCAGTTACAAGTGATAAACGGATTGTCAACGATCGTGTAGTTACTGTTTATCCTATTACTATCATCTTAATAAAAAAAAAGTCATTTGGCGTACTGATTGTGAAATTCTCTCAGTTTTACAAACCAACTATAGTGTGTGAGCCCCATCTAGTTCGCCCGAAGCGAACTCAGCAGCGTCCGACCTATATCGCGACGACCACCCATCCCCAATTGACATAACCAACCTGTCTTTTCGAATGTAGATGGCGCTTTTCGCCATCGAACCCTGTTTTGCCAAAATATTACCTTATGCGCATCGAGTATACTATTGCCTAACCAAATATGGTATTGAAAATATGATAACAACTAAACGACTTCCGGTGACTTCCATCTTAAGCGTGATTACCGACTCTCACCCCCGCGCACCCTAGTTAGTATCAAATAGAAAAAAAAAAACAAATGAACAAATTCGGTCTTTTAGTTCCGTTAGTTCTTTAAGTTCCGTAGTTCAATGGAATCTGGGAATTGGAAGGGAATAGGAACCGTTTCGGTCTTTGAAGGACACGGAATGAAATGATCCTTACTAAGGATTCATAAATTTAAATAGGAACGTTTTATTGTCCGCCATTTTTTTTTTAGAGTCCGCCGTTAACGTAGACCCGAAACAGATAGTCTTTCAGGCCGAAAGTCGCGCATATGCGCGCGACTTTTCTCCAGTATTAGATCCTGTTTTAAGTATTTACTGTCGTCGGAGTGTCTGTGAATGTCTCTGAGCTTCGTTTTAAACAATAAATACCCATAGTGCTCTACCGCCTGGTTTATTTCATTTAACCTGGTCAAAAATCTATAATTCCCAAACTTCAGTATCAAAACAAACTCATTTAGTTTCCTGTTGGAATGCATCGTTTTCCAATTGCTGTAATGTAACCGAGACTTAAGAACACGTTTGGAAACTTTTAAGCGCCATCGAGAACTAGATGTAACAGCGCTGTAAATACTAGTTACATTTCTAGATATTATGAGTTACATGAAAGAACTTAAACAGTGTTCTCAAGTTTTGTAAAAGCAACATTCAGTCTCGAGTCGGATTAGGTTCTTATTTGCTTTTTAATTAAAACCCTTGGTAGTTTTTTTTATTATGATACCAAGTGTATGGGAAAAACATGTCGTGCGCCTGATGGTAAGCGACACGCCTATCCATAGCAGCTTCAGTGCCACTCAGAGCTTTAGATCGCAAAGATCTGAGAGGCACTGTCACTGCGCCTGTCGCCCTAACACATAGAATAGACAAGTCCCATGTCTGTATTTTCAAAACCCTTCAAAACCGGAACGCAGAGTAAGGTCGCGTTCTCATTATGTCGTGATGACAGGCAGTCGTGCAGTTTAAATTATCGTGGCTTAATTGTATAATAAAATTGTTCACACATAGAACAACGCGATTAACTGTCGTTTTTATTAACTTTTTGACGTTACGACGACAGACTGTCGTGACAATGGGAAGAGCTAAAACGACAGTTGTCTGACGATGAATAAAACGACACGATAAAAATTTGAGACAATC